TCTTGTTATTATTGTACTTAGTCTTTTTGGTACTAAGGAGTGAAGGTTACCAAAGCCAGGGCCCAATATACTCAACCTGGAGAGAACTCTTCTTTTCGGTGAGTGATAAACTCTGAGGCTGTCGGCAAGTAGCATATGAGAACTACTTCTAAATGACAGTTGCCGTCCCTGCAGTGAGTGATAAACTCTAAGCCTATCGGCAAGTAGCGTATGAGAACTACCTCTAAACGATAGGTGCTGGCTTATGGTTTCATTCATTTTACCAGGTGTATTGTATATCGGGTTTCTTGTTTTTCGAGTTAGATTCTTCCCAAAAATTTCGGTATGAAGGATTGTCGGTGAGAGTTGTGTTTGTAGACCCTGTTTGGCTTTAAAATTGAGATATACAATGGTTGTAGTTATTATATATTTTTTATTGTAACTTGGCACAGGTTATAATAGTGCATTTTTGTTTGTAGCAACTTTCAGGTTGCTTAGCTGCTTCTTGATAGAGGTATCACTCTACTTTGTCAGCCTTCTTGGTTTTTCTTTTTGTTTTTCTGTTTTTTATATGTCTTTTTTTCCCTTTTCTTTTCCTTTAAAATTTTTTTTTGTTTATTTTGTTTTGTTATTAGATGTATTATAAAACACTCTTTATAGTACTTGGAGTATTTTACATTCTATATGTGATCTAGGGGGTACAATATATAGTGATCTCAAATAAAATTTTTTTTTTTAATACTTTTTAATAATGAGGGTACAATACAAAAATCATCTTCAAAAAATCAGGGGTACTTTACACAGGGGTACTATAAAGAGCGTTTTATAGTAGTTTTTTTTTTTTTTATAATTGGTAGTTTTGTAGTATTAGTATAAAATTACCACTTTCTTTTACTCTTGGTAAAGAAAAAAAAAATTAAAGAGATTAGCTCTTAATAGGCTAACAAAGTCTACTCAACTTATATACAAAATGGTGTGATGAGTTGCTTTTGGCATGGTTTCCACAGCTAGGAGATATCAAGCTTGCAATTTAAAAGCTTAGTTTAGTTGGAATGGTTTTACCGTTGTTGATTAAATAAATAAAGTTTTGTATTTGAGCTTTGACAAGACTATCAAAAAAAAAAAAAAATACTAACTTTAAACTAATATTTAATAAGTTTATTTTTTGCTTTGTTATTATTTTATTAATAATCTTCTACTGGTATTAAACATTACAGATATGTTTTAGTATTATTGTATTAGAAATTATTTTTTATTAATAGGCAGATTATTAATTAAAATTTTTAAATACTATACTTACAAGATACAAAAAAAAACCACCAGATCTAGTATATTACAAGAGATAATAGTAAAGAATTAAATTACTGTATAACATAATAAAAAATCTTCGAATTTTATTTATAAACACGTTAATGAAAATAATTTGACGATAAAATAAGAATTGATAATCGGTATTATACAGTAATTGTCAATATTATACCGATCACGATAACATATGTCAAATTATAAATTAGGCTATACGTAAATAGAATAGTTATACGCCGTATACGTATAATCGATTTTGATTATTTGACATTTTTTGGATATGTAAAATTGATCCGACAAAAATAATTGTTTACGGAGGATATGGTTATGGGTGTAAGATACCAGATAACCTATTTTAAAATAGGTATATACTGTGCAATACAATTCTGATCACCCACATCGTATGCTGTAATCTCGTATTTACAAAATACAAATCAATATATAACTTTTAAATACATCTTCCATTCAGAAATTGAGATAGTTAATCCTGAAAAAATCCAATGGCGCATATAGTACTCTTGATAGAAAAGAGAGAATAAATATTATATTACTTTGCTAGTCAAACTTTTATTAATAACAAGATTCGGATAATCTTAATCCTATTATATTTTATTTCTAAATTTAAGATTTTTTTTTTTTCGAAAATAAAACAAGATAATTACACATACAAAACTTTTAACGAATTGTCTGCGTCATTCTAAAGTCATCATCCAAATTTCTAGTAACAGAAAATCAGATAAATTATTCAAATACAATCATTTCATCTTGCAAATCTAGGAATAGAAACAACAATTTAATTTCGAATTTTGGCAAGGAATCCATTGGGCAAACTATTAAATCATATTTGACATAAACTTAATGTTCAAAATTTTAAGATAGCAAAAGATCACCAGCGATCCACAGGTCGCCTGCGCGATGGATATTCATAATCCATAGGTCTTGCATACTCTCTTTCCCCATACCCTCTCTCACCTTCAGGGCGAGCACTGTACGCACGATCACGATGCTCATAACGCTCATCCCGAACTAAATCGTAATATGCACCAGATCGAACTTGATAATCTCTATTATATGGGTCATCACCGTACCATCCATTAGTATTATTTATTCTCCGTGAATAATCATCATAAGGAGCTCTCTGATGATACACTGAAGGTGATCGAGATCGTGGTCGAACTAAAATTTGCTCACGCTCGTAGTCTCTATATGAATGCCCTCTATCTTCGGGCTTATCGCTACTATATCTAGAATAATATTCTTCATATGGTGCTAAAGACATTGAACGAGGATATTTTTCAGAATACTCAGTTCCTGAAGGACGTATGTAATACTTATCACGATAATCATGTCCAGGATGCCGCGAATGATAACGATCATCATAACTTGATACAGAACGAACACAGTATTTGCCAGGAGAAGTAGACCTTGTATATTCGCGATAATCACGAACATATTCGCGGGCATCTCGTACAGGACTAAGAGACCTACTTTTATTACGTTGAAAAGTTGCAATACTACGATCTCTCTCAAACCTTTGAGACTCATTTCCAATTGAAGATGTTAAAGGATGAGAATTCGCTCTCTCACGAATAGAAATATCTTTTAAAGGTCTATTTGGAGATTTATCTCTTCGTGCTCTAAATAAATTATCAGGAGACGTTTCAGCAGGAATTATATTCGAAGGCATGGATACATCGTTCAACATGGGACTTTTCAAATTTTGCATTATTCCAGTTTCTTCCATTTTAACTTCTACAAAATGATCTAGTTGACTGTTATCTTTAGCGATCAATATATTACGATCTCCATTTAAATTTTTTGTCAAGTCCTTGCCATTACTTAAATCAGAGCTTTGCTTATTATCTTGTACTAAATTATTAAATGGTAATTGATCAATTGAAGTGCTAACCCATTTAGGAGGTCTAACTTTCGAATGAATACCAAGTTCTATTTGATTTTTCAATCTTTGCAATTTATTATTTATCTCAGTAGACGTATCTCCGAGGTCCCTTGATTCTCTGTCAGCAGAATCTTTATTGCTTTGTTTTTCAGTGCGTGAAATATCATGAGGAAATTTGGAGTCTAAACAAGAAGGTTGTGCTGAAGAAGTTTGTAATTGACTCGTTGACAAAATTGTTGAAGAAGATTGATTTGTATTATCAGGAGTTGAAGTCGGAAATTGATGTTGATTGAACTTTGGAGCAAGTAACTTATTAAGATCAGAAGTCTGTTGCCCGGGAAGTCTTGTAACTTGTTGATCCATTTGCATTCCATTAAATGGAACTACCCGAGATTGTTGTATAGACAGATTATTCAAATTATTCCAGTTATTAGGGACAAATTGTTGAGAAAATTGTTGAGGTAGAGAAACTGTAGGCACTGATTGAATCGATGAATTATCAGGATTTAAAAGTTGAACTTGAGATTGTGGAAACTGGGAAACAGATTGAGTATTTTGTACGAAATTCACATTTGTAGTAGGCTGAAAAAAAAAAGTTTGTTGTGGAGAAACTTGATGAGAAACTTGATGTGGTGCAAAAAGTGAAGGTTGTTGAGCTTGCTGTTGTATTAGAGGCCATCCGGATCCTAAAGGTTGCGGTGCTAAAGGCCTCATTGAAGGATTTATAATCGACGGTAAAAGAGGACCGACATTTTGAGGTCTACCCAATGGAACATTCGTTCCATTCATTTGGAGAGCATTTTGACCATGTGATAAACCACTAGTACCTAATTGCACGTTTGCCGGACCGAGTGGTATACCAGCAGGACCTATTTGAGGCACACTTTGGCCTATTTGCACACTATTGGCTTGTCCACCACTACCGCCTAATTTGGACAGGTTCAATACAACAGGGTTCAAGAACTATTTAAAATTTCACAAAGTAGGCCAAGTATCACTCAAGGCTAATGCAGCGACAAGAACCAAGTTATAACGATGCCCATTTTCTTTAAACTTTTTAAATTTCGAAGTCACAAATGGTTCGTTGCTTCCCCTTGAAGTTTATTACATACCTGATAACGTTCCAAGATTTCGTTGAGAATTTAACCCATTTTGTCTCTGATTATCCAAATTAATTTTTGAAACAGCAGGTGGTCTGCGAGTTGGAGGAGTATCACACCACTTGCACCCAACACGACATCTCTCAGTACAATCAAATTTTTTGTGTCCTATGGAGCCGCAATGATGACAGCGTTGCGAATCCATAAAAGGGTTTCTATTTTAAATTACTGGTTTTCGAAAATAAGTCGTTGGAGCGACTGGATGGTCATGTTTTGCTACATCTATAAATACATACCGATACCGTTTAGAGTGAGTTGAGCATGATTGGTGGCTTGACAGTTAAATGGCGAATAAAAGGGATTGATTTTCTTTTGATGACCGAAGTTTCTAGAATTTTGATTAATGAGGCTTAGCATATTTATACGTATACGTATTTTTTTTTAATACGTAATAAAAAAAACATATTACAGTGCGCGACACTTAAAGACTACATTTGTTCTATTTTTAAAATTTAAAGCTTTTATTCAAAGATGATTGCTATTTGTACACCAGGTGTATATACACACATATATATTTTTTTATTTTAAGCAATTCTGTCTTTATTCATGTGAACTGTTATATAATTTATGTACAAATGTACTACATCTTTACAACTTGTAGCTCTAACTCAATAAAGACTTACCAGGTTAAATACCCAATGCAACCTGCTACAACAACTTTTTTTTTTTTTTTTTTCTTTGATAACCTCGCACTAATTTATTAGAATTTTAGTAATTTACAAAACTAACTATCTAATTTACGAATTAGACAAATATCCAGTTGCTATAAAAGTGCCCAAGTATAGTTATCGCACTGATATTGTCAACAAGCTCTACATATGGTGATACCCATATTTAAAAACCTGCTATAGCTAGGTACTCAGCTACCTACATTTGAACTGATTACATTTTATCTTTCTTCTAGATTTATTCTACCAATGTTCAGGCAGAATATATTTTCTTTTACTTTTACGTAGTGCAAATATATATGCCAATTTACAAAAGAAAGACTTCTTTTAAGAGCTGATTCCTCCTTTTAAGCTTATCCCACCTAAAATTTTGGTAATATCTTCCCAAACTCAATCCACTTAAATTTCAGCAAATTATACATATTATCTCCTACTTTTATATAAGACTAACATATATGCCAACAACCTGCTACAACAACTATTAATCTCATTTAAAATCCAAAACTTACTTCAGATTTTGATTGTTGAAACAATGCCCCCTTAATCATTTGACAAGTTGTTATATACTATATCAGGATTTATTTTTCTCTTCTAATTCTTTCTTTTTCTCAAGATGCATAAGACAAAAGAGAGAAATTTTTAAAAGAAAATGTACAAAAATGACCAAAAAAAGAAAAAACAAAAAAGAAAAAAGATTACGAAAAAAAAAAATCCAAAAAAAAATTTAAAACTTTGAAGTCACTATTATAACTTGTACATGGCTAATAAAAATTATATAACAAATGCAACATTTGTATATCTCTATTATAAAACTTTGCTTTAATATTAAATTTACTTTTCAACCTTTTTACCAACTTCAGATAGCTTCATTATCTGTTCTAATTCAAAATTAGAGTTTCTAGGCCAAGTCTCATAAAATAGTATTATATTATCCATAAACAAACACATGTGTGTATTTTGCTAATCTGTTTGAATTTGGAAAGTAAACAATACCGATCTTTTGGAAGGAGTAAGCCAAATCTTACTTTTTAGTTGAAATTTTTTGAAAAATCAACAGGAGAATAAGAGAAAGTAAAAAGAAATCACTTAAAAAGAGTGTGGCTTAAGAAAAATATATAATTTGTTATATCTTTGGATTCTAATAAAGACTTAGCAATTTTATCGATAAAACTTTGATTCTACCAAAATTTGCTATGGTTTGGAGTACTGCCTGTCTTTTTCTCCTTTGTATACTTTGCTTCTGGCCTGTATACCGAATATGATTTATAGTTTTCCAAGCTAGGTTAATTGTTATTATTCTAAAAACCAAAGCTACAGTAAAATCTTCTTAGAACTATAGTCTACAGAGCTTTGTTGACAAAGTTTTTGCTTACCAGAATTAATAGTACTTGCCAAGAGTACTATCTGCCTTTTCCTCTTGACTAGGCTTTTGGCTTGTATGCTAAATATTAGCAAGGAGTCTCCAGAGCTAGTTGATAGAATGTGAGTTGGGCCAGGTTTTTATAAACCCAAAACACATCTAAAAAAATTTTTTTAAGCCCAATTAAGGCCCAAGCCCAATAAAAAACCCAGATATGAGGCTGGTCTGGGCTTTCTTTTTAAATTAGGCCCTGGCCTGGCCTGGCCCAAATATTAAATACTCTAAATAAAATTACTAAACAATTAATTTTACAGACAAGTTTATTTCGTAGACAATATATTTTACCACCTATAATAGGATCCGATTAACTTACTAACAATCACTCTGTTGATACTATATTTTACTGATAATTTACCAACAAGTTTATTTTACTGATAGTTTATTTTACTGAAACTCATTTTATAGATGAAACAATTCTAGTTAATATTATTAAGATTAGGTTAAAATAAAAGTTAAAGTTAGTATAATTTATAAAAATAGTAAAATGAGTTTCAGTAAAATAGACTATTAGTAAAATAAACTTGTTGATGAATAATTGTTGGTAAAATGTAGTATCTATGAAGTGATTGTCAGTGAAATAATATAAACTCATTGTGAGGGGCTCTAGTAGGACTAGTTTTTTTTTTAGTATTATTATGTTTCAGTTGTTAATAGTGTTATTTCTATTCTAGTTGATTATAGAGATTTTTAGTTAGTATGAAATATATATAAGAAATTACTACCTTATTTTGTAAAGTTCACTTCATTATTTATTTCTTTTATAGCCTTTATTTCTTTAATAATATTAGTAATATTTATTTTATTAATTCTATTAATAGCACTTCAGAAATTAATAGCATTTCACTATGAAATTCAATCTTAAAACCTGTATTAAGATAAGTACTGTATGTAAAAACTATAAAAGCAACTCTTTTACTTTAATAAAAATAATGAACTAACTGGAAGTTAAGAACTTACTAGAGTTTAACTCATAGAGTCTATTGTCCTAATTTAAATGTTTTACTCTAACTACTCTCCTTTCGATTTATATATAATCTATACCCAATTCTTTGATAAACTATCTAGTTCTATAATCCAAACTTAGAGTTTCATAATATAGTCTAAAGCTCTATTTGGTCTAATACCTCAAACCAAATTTCTCTATACCTTTTTCATATTTACTATCATTAGATTTAGATAGAGTTTGGTAATTTAAAGTGTTAATTTAGATTAGTTTAGTATTGGTTAGTATTTGTATTGCATGATTTTTTCAAGTCCAAACTAGTTTAAACTTTCTTACTATTCAAATTTCAAAAATATAACTATATTAGATTTATATTTACTAATTTTTAATTAGTTATTTTTGTTATTATAGATTTTAGTAAGTATTATTAGGTATATTTATAAAGCCCAAACCTAGCCTGGTAGTTTGTAGGCCTGAACTCATACCTAGCCTATATTATAAAATCTAAACCTAACCCCAGCTCAAACTTGGCTCAACTTGCAAATTTTTCTAGGCTTAGCCCAATCCATTTCTTAGTTGATCTCTTCTAAATAATCGCTACTGTAGTCTACTTAACTTTCCAAGAGAGTTTTTATTTTTTTTTAGTCAGGAAAATTGGTTCAAGTAATCATTAAGAAAAGTTGTAATTGATATATACATATATATTGATATCTCAAAATTCTGATTATATAATAGCTTTTGGGGTTCTAACAAAAAATATTTCTTGCAAAATTTTAGTATAAACTATAACTTCATCTAACTCTAAAACTACCCTCACTTTAATCTTAAGCTATACTAATTTTTTGTTTACAATTTATATATTAAACAAATTTGTAAATCAATAAATTAATATGTGTATATATATATCTAGTATAAATTAAGAAATTTTCTTATTTAAAATAGTAATTTTTGATGTTTTTAAAGTTGCTTAATTTTGATTGGCCAAATTTCTTAAATTTTGATTAGTTAAGTTTTTTTTTTTATTACATATATATAAAACTAAACTCTAATCTAACTTTAAAAAACCTCTAATAGAGGTGTGGTGACTTAGTGTAGTGGTTTAGTCGTCATCCTCTCCAAGTGGCAGGTCTAGAGTTCAAATTCTACAGATAATAATATTTGAAAAATAGGCTTGTGTTTGGTTAATGGCTATGCTTAACGGTTGGATTTAATCTGTAACTTCGGTCACACTATCTAGTAATGGGAGCAATAGTACAATAAATCTGAGAAACCAGCATAACCGAAAACCCATTTGAGAAGTTCTGAGCTAGGAATAATAGTGATCTTTGATGGTATTACAAGAGAGCTGAATTCAAACCAGGGCCCAAGATCAGAGAACTAAATGACCAGGTTCTAATGGCGAAGGACACACTAGCTGAACCGCTGGGTCTGTCGCATCAGAGGAAAAGAATATATGCTCCGAAAGTATGTACTAAGAGGAGGGCGTCCTTCAGGCACCTAAAGCCTGGGCAGACCAACCTTTCCGGGTTGCTGGCTGGAAGTAAGGGAGAGACCGATAAAGAATCCAAATAAGAAAATAGTCCAATTGCGGGTACCAGAGTTGTTGTGAACCTAATAAAGGCAGAAATAGGTAATTGCAGGAGTTTAATAGTTAGCTCTGACTCCAAGTGCATGGGTAAAGCTGTGGCATAGGTTGCTGAAGTCTAGATGGATATATGTGTAGGACATGTAATATCTAGCAAAATGGGAATATTCCACCATCTAATAATCTAGAGGCACCCAGAGTCAGGGTAAGCAAACTTCACGGTATGTGTTGACTAATAATAAGGTAAATAGAGGTTATGATTACTATACTAGGCTGAAAGGTTTGGTATGTCTCACTTAAAGAGGTTTACAGAGATTCGAGAACTGTAACATCGCAGGAGGAGGGACTTGGGACATCTGCGGCTGTTGATGACTAATTAGGAAGGTTATAGCTTGAGATACAGACTAGGTTACGGCCAGTATTGTTAAAAATTATGATTAACTATAAATTTACTGGTCATTGGTCAAATGATCATTGGTCTGGTCAGTCTGGTCAAATTGGTCAGATGACCTGTTACACAGACCAATTT